GCCGCTGTCGCTGCGCGCTCTGTGCCTGTTGCGTCGAAGTGACTGTACGCTACATGCGCGAGTGCCCCGTGTGCGAGTCAGCTGTGGATGTTAAGGCCGGGAAGGTGACCTCAGATGCCTCCAATGAGTGACTCGGCCTTTTACCAACCAGCGCTCCGGTGGCGGTTGGTTGAATTGAAGCAGCTTTCCGAAACGCTTCTGGCGGTGGCGAGGGGTTCTGGAGACAATGACATGCAACTGTTTCTAATAGCTTCTTGTTACTAGTAGTAAGACACTTGTTACTAGTAGCGATGCACTTGTTACTAGTAGCTTCTTGTTTATTGCTTGCAGTTTAGAAAAAGGACCCGCAAGGGCCGAAGGGGATCATGAGGAAGTTATGTCGGTGCATGTTCAGACCAAGAAGGGGCGGTGACAAAACCCACAAACAACAAACAGGTCGTTCACAGGACGCCTTCGAATTTTGTGTCATTGCCCGAGAAAATGCAGGGATTCAGGTTGCGAGTTAGGAGTTGATAGGGTTTGGAAACGAACTGGCTTCAACGGGAGATGTTCGTTGTGTTGGAGCTCAGCCCACGTGCGTCCTAGGCTACTGGCTCATGTGGAGGATCGAGTGGCCCGGGCAGGTGAGGAGATTGCGGAACAGCAGGGTGTGCTGCAGCAGTTGGTGGATGCACGCCAAGCGTCCCAACGACTGGTCCTGCAGTATGGGAACACTTCCTCTGGCCGAGGAAGCAAGAGATCTTACACCACCTTTTTGAAAGTGGTCCAGGCCGAAGGTGGGCCTTCAGAGAAAGGTTCGGTCTTGAAAGTGGACTTCAACATCAACCCTGGCTATGCGAAGCCAACAGCAACAGCAAAGGAGCCGAACGACAAGTCCTTAGGATTCGCCTTTGAGTATGCCATGGCAAGAGCCTATCCATGTCACATGACTGTGCATTTCAAGCCTGAACTGGGACTGCCCAAACTCATCATCGAGCACTATGTCAGAGATGAACCCAAAACGAGCCGTCGGATTCTTATTCAGCTCCTTGGCAGCGGCACAGCAGGGCAGAGGTTCAACACGCAGTAGGGCACACTGCAATACATTCATCACACCGCTTCTTGTTGTCACCCATAGTCTACCCATACAGAGCCATGCTAGCTCCAATATCTTGCCATGTCATGCCATTCATTGCCATTCCAAATGTTCAAGAGCTTCGGCTGCTGTTGGGAAGGGGGTCACATGTGAAGCGGTTCCACTTCCAAGAAAGTGGACCAAAGAACAGTGGACATCCAGCACCCAAAACTGCTAGAATCTGCTGGAGAATCCAGGCAGTATAAATACTTTGCAAGTGCTTCGCCATGCTTTGCCCTTTGAAGCCAAAGAACGACGGCAAATGGGTGGTTGAGCCCAAAATCCACATGTTCCAAGGCTTCCACAACCTCGCATGCCACCTGCCGGTGCGCCACGCGTGACTGAGAAGCAGGTCACGTTTGATGCTGAGCCTCGGCGAAGGTGAGCTGGCGGGCTAGCCAGCTCACCCATGCCGCCCCCAAAATAAACATAGCCCCTGTCACAGGTTTGAGGAAACATGAAGAAACTATATCTGACCAAGTAGAGGCAGGAACTGGGAGAGAGTACATGCCCTGTTGAGCATGGTGCACCCTCTTCAGACACAGATCACTTCGATTACGCTACTAGTGGCTGCTGCCTCTATGTCTACACACAACCCGGGCTGGAGACTGAGACGAATCCCTCAGCATACTGCTGCACAAGAGCTAATGAGACAACCAATCTCTCGCAATGTGGAGGGGTTTCATCTCGCAGATGAGGGCCTGATTGCGAGAAAGCAAGTGAACCGGACCGGTGTTTCGAAAGTACTGCGTATGGATCGCTCTTTGTTCATTTCTTGGTCCGTTGATCATGCAAGTGATTGATAGGTCGATATGTTAGGTTGTCAGGTCTCTTCGTCGTCCTTTTCCCGACCTTGTGATGGTCCATGTTTGACAGTGATCATCTTCAGCACTTGCATGGCTGAAGGCTTCTTGAGAACAGATCTAAACCAGAGAAGGGAACCCAAACCGCTTCAAACCCTGATCTGTTTCAGAGGCTCTTCGGCTCCGCAGCTCAACACCCGCATCTTCTTTCCCTCAGGATCCGCCGCAGAACGCTTGGCTGGCCTTCCAAGCTGGGCGAAGTGCCGGCCCCAGGAAGCGCCTTCCTCCCAGGACGTGCGGTGAGGTGTTGTTTCCCGAGTGAAATGGTGGGTGACGTGGGGTGAGAAAGGATTCCGGATGAGAAGGTGAGAAGGAGTAAGAGATGCCACCCTGAAAGGATGAACGGCGATCACAGGATAGCTCCAGTGGAGAGGGGCAGGTCAAGACACAGCCCTCGCAGAAGTTATATAGCAGAAGTCCGTTTCAGCTATTGTCATGCATGTGAGACGGCCCAAGCGCAACTGGTTTCCACGTCTTCCGACTAGCGGAATCTCGTTGATGACTTTGTGAGGGATAATGCGGTCAATGCTTTTGGCTACGTGGGATGAGCGCTTTCTGAAGTCCAATGATTGCTTTCCTGGTATTCTTCCTCTTCCTAGTGGTGTGACAGTGGATCCCTCTAGTTTCAACATGTTTTAACCCAACTTGTTCCTTTCCATTTCAGGTGCGCTAACTACTGCGCCGCAGAATTTTGTCTCGCTCTTGACTGGCGCTCCAGCAGCTTGACTGCCAATATGAGTGAGAACACTGACTGCCGTGCTTGGATTGAACAGGTGTATATATATATATATATTGGACTAGACCACTACATTCTGCACGGAAACGGCCCAAACCGGGAACTGTTCAGCACACGAGCGTGCGAAACCGGACCACACCGATGCAGCTTGCAAAGGCTTGCGGCTTTCAAAGATCACGAAAAGTTGCTGAAACCAATGCAGCTGGGTCTTCACAGTCACTAACATTGGAAGTGGGCAACCACTTGGCTGTAAAGAGGAAGAGCATGCTCATCCACTTTTCCTGAAAACAGCCGGTCGTGGTTGTTCATGGGCAAGTCCACTTCCATGGTTTCCGTGTTCGCCGAAGGGTACCAAACCCGACGTTGGCTTCGTTGGACGATGGTGGAGTCAGACTTCAACGACTGAGGCCACTGAGGCTGTCGGGCGCTCCGGCAGCCGCAAGAGCAGCAGGGCAAGCGCTGGGTCGCGAAGAGGGTAAGTCATGGCAATGAGAGGGTTGTGGGTTCTGAAATCATTTGACATATTTGACAGTGGGTCGAAACAAAGTCCATGCATCCCACATACCAGTACAATCTCATATCGGTTTTGGAGGTAATTCTCATTATCCCTGTGGTTGTCGGTTGTAGTAGGGCTCCCACAGAAGCTTTGGCTGTTGACTGTTGCACTGTTGAGTGGCTAAGTTGTGCCTCTATTGCCAAACAATGCACGTTGACACTTGTTCATTCCAAAGGTGCAGGAAATTGTCCGTCAACAGTAGACTCATCAACAGGTGGAGGTGGCAGGGTCAGGGAGGGCCAGCCTTGCATGCAAGATGCGACCGCAACTTGGCTTGTCCACCCTTCCTCTTTGGTCTCAGATAGTTTTTTTTCGGAATCACGTCCAACTAGAAATGAACAATTTTTAGGAATTGACCGTTGTGTGAGAAATCCAGTTTGTGTGTGGCGATTTGAAACCGGGACCTCAATGGACCTCATATGCTTGGGCAGACCCTCACAAGAACTTTTCAGAACTCCGACATTGCGTAATCGGGGGTCACCGCGGGTCTTGCGGGGGGGAGTTGGCAAACCGTGGCAAAACAAGTGCTGGGAATTGTGTTGTCCAATACTGAAACTGTGCTTGAAGCTTACTCATCCCCGCCCATGGCGACGGTGTACAGCACCACCTTGCCAAGCAAGGTGCGGTGTTTCTACCTGTTTGGTCTGTAAGTGTCCGCCAGCCGATGCTGGTTTTGGTCTTTTGGGTGGAGGAGTCGCAGACTCTGTACAGCTGCTGCGGCGTGAAAAGGGAGGGGCAGAGAGGAAGCGAAGAAGTCTGTGAGGCGCACTAGAGTGAGAGTGTTTAGCACGCACGTCGATACGAGTACTGTATATAGACTCTGGACTATGACATTGACAGATGGGTGAAAAACGGCAGAAGCATGATGTTCCTTTCAAGTGTGGCATGAGAAGCTCACGAAAATAGAGCCTTTGCCTTCACCGATGAAGCTCACACGTGATGAGTGACATCCGTAAAGTAGACGGGTGAGTTCCGCACAGCATAGCACAGCCAAGGAGTGATTTCCGATAAACCAAAGCCTTTGGCTGGTTAATGCTGTTTGTATTCCTGGTCTTTCAGTGTCTCATCCATCTTAGCATTCTTGGATTAAGTTCTGTTAAGTTGGTTCAGTTCTTGTCCATATTTGTTCAATTACAAGGTTCATCATCGGAATGTAGGTTGCATTAGATGCTTTCCCGCTTGCGCGGCACAGTCTCGAAGTTCCTGACTTGAAAGTGGCCAAAGCAAAAGTTGACCTGCTTTGGGAGGGATGCTGAATTTAGAAGGAACACATTCCAACAAGTCGACAACCAAAAGCTTGTTTCTCGACGTGGCGGTCTTCATGGGTCATGGTCAACTACCTCACCAAAGGTTTACAGAGGAGCTGAACCTGGGGGGGACTGTTTGGGATTAATTGAACATATCATATGCATACATATGCATAATACTAACTGCTTACCAGTCCGATCCTATGTCCTTTTAGGATCCTTAGGCAAATATTCATCATGCGTATTGACTCACCACTGTGACAAGCTTATCGAGGGTCGTCGTGATGTTGGATTCCAAAGCTGTTTCAGTCTGAGCCTGTTGAAGAGATCAAACTATTTGTGCTGGAATCAGCAAAGAGGCCATGAGATTTCCTGGTGTTCCGGAAGAAAAGAGGGAGCTTTCTAGGATGCCAGTTCCCATCTTCGGATGGCTTCAAGCCGCACTCCAAATCCTGTAGTCACACGTAGTTGCTTCATTAGAAGGTGTGAAAGCAGCCAAGTTACGTCGGCAGCGCGCCATATTGCCCGCATCGGCGCCCGATGGCGTCCTGCCATGCGTCACTGGAGACCCCTGACTGTCAGGGGCCAGTGGGCGCTCTGGTGCCATTCAGTTCGACATGCAGGAAGCATTCAATCTGCTGGGCTGTGGGAGCTCTTGGAGTATAACGCCCACTACTTCAACCCTCATCGAATGGCATCACTTCTAGCACAAGTGCTGGATCAACCCCGCCGGGACACCAAGCCTTGGATCAGGTGAGGCCTTATCACTGTCCGTCCTTGGATTTTGAATTTACTTGGAATGGCTCATTCCAAGAATAGAACAACTTATGCCCTTCGTTGACCCAAGCTCGTTTGGAACACCATGGAGTACTTGCTGTGCTTTCCACACTCCTGAGAAGTCAGGGTCACCGGTTCGATCGCCCATCGACTCCCAGAGTCGGAGGTCGGGAAGCACGAGGAGATCCTCGACTCCAAGCCTATTTGCAGAAGGCGACGACGCGAACGCAGTCCGAAGCGGTTGGGGGGGCGGTTGATGTGGTCACCACTCTGGGGAACAAAACCAAACGTGGTGCAGAAACTGGGCGAAAGAGCATGTGGTCGCCATGCAAAGAGGGTCTCCCCAGTGGCCGTGGCCTCGAGCAGAATGTGCATGTCCGGGACCGCCCTGTGACCTCGGACTCTGAGCAGGGTCCAAGCGGTGGGAAGGAGTTTCCGGATGGAATCCTTGGAGATGAGTGAGAATCTAGGTACTGACCGGCAGAAAACGAAGTTTCCATGTGTGTACATGTGACATCTGTATATATTCTGTACATCCAGTAGATTTTCAGGGCATTTGTCGTTTGAATCAGAAATCTTGTGGCCCGAAGAATTAGCAACATCTTTTCCGCACAATCCTTTGAGATCCTTTGAGTATATATCTGCGTATATCCGCTGCCTTTGGCTTTTTCCAGCTTTCTCCTGATCATGCCTATCCGTTCTTGCTCCACCACTACTACTTCCAGCAATACTATAGGTCCTGCCCTACCTGACAGGGAGAACACAGAGTGAATAGTGGGGTATTCTCCATCCTAGGTGGTGTGGATGTGTTCTTTCAAGACTGTCCATATATATATATATATATTGTAGAGCCAAAGCCCATCTTTCAGCAGATAATGGCAGTTCTGCTTCTGGCAGCGTTGCTGCAACTGGCCTCAGCAGGGTGTCAGCTTGGATCGAGGGACGCTTGCTCAGACCATGGAGTTTGCAAGAGCTCAAGTTTCAGTCCAGATCCCTTCTTCAATAAATGTAAATGTGACTTTTGCTATGACGACTTCGAGTGTGGCACGAACATCTGCTTGTTTTTCGCTGCTCCAGTCGCCTTTGTCTTCTGCATTCTTTGCATGGGCTGCATTTGCAAGGCCTGTCAGGATGGCCTCCTCCTAGGAGGCATTGCTGCCCTGGCGGCCACGATGACGCGGGGGAACCGCGAAGCGACTACCTCCTCTGGCTCATCCCGGCAGCCGCTCTTCGCCGAACGCGAGCTCCAGCCTCACCAACCTCAGCCGAGTCAACAAGTGACACCCTTCAGCGGCGCCACTGCACCGCCGCAAACGGCACGGACCTTCCGGGTGACGTGCCCTGCGGGCGTGTCGCCTGGATCGCTCTTGGAAGCTGTGACACCCGAGGGCTTCGCTGTGCAGGTCATGGTGCCCGAAGGCATTGGCCCCGGCAAGGAGTTCTCAGTGCAGTACTGAGCCACGGAGGGTGGCACACCCAACCCACCAGGGCGATGGAGTGAGAGAAAAGATGGTGACCCCAGAGCAGTTTGGTCAGAGCAGATGTTAACCTGAGAAAGTGACCCATGCTGGTGGGTATAGTGAGGAAGGGACGAGATTTGGACTTGACCTTCCAGATTGGCCACTGCTTGACCATTGCTGTGTACAACGAGAATGATTTTTCCCTGAGCAGTTTCAAATTCAGGAGTTCATCCAACCCTGGTCCAACCCTACACCTAAAGTATTGTCTTTGTGTCACACAGAATTGTGGCATGCATGTGGTGATGATTTATGTACATACATAGGATTTACATACCGTACATACGCATAGGCCGTCATAGACCACGATGTCATCAGCGTGTTGCCTTGTTTTGTTGCTCAATGACCTCCACCAAAGACTACCGAGGGATATTGACATATACTGACCAGTATGTTGTGTTTCCTAGGCGGTGGATGGCCTGAAACGTGTGAGGCCTCTTCTGGTGACGGATTTCACGCCGGAAATGGTCACCTGAACGCCACGCCTCTGCGAGGCCATCACGCAGTGCCATTTGTACGAGAACTTGAGGGACTTGACCGCGAAGGACCGGTCGGAGAGCTGAGCTGCCGAGAGCTGGGGGTGGTGAGAATGTGGAAGATACATGAACTGGTTGGCATATGTTTGATATTGTTTGATTGTGGCCCCTCAAGACTCTTCAACCACTCAAGATTCTTCCAATTTCTCACTCAACTGGTTCAGTGTAGCAGTTGGAACGGGTACGGGTTCGTGATTCGGAACGAAAGACCGGTCTCACCGAAGGTTCGGGACCTCTGAGCGGGCACATGATCCGATCCGCACGCTCGGAGTGATCCGCTGCACGCTCGTGTTCACACCACGTCCATGTTCGCTGCAGTCACCGGCGCACCTCTCAGATCTTCACCGTGAGACGGTGATCCATGCAGTGATGCGTACCGTTACCGTTTCAAGACATTGAAATCACCATGAAAGGCATGAAATACCGTCATCTCGTGTCTCGTGTCTCTGAATCTGTGACCTGAAGCGTCGTGACTCTGCCTCAGGACATTGCTGAGGCTGTTGCTCTTTGCCGAGAGGCCGAGCGGCTAAGTCTTCAGCGACAGAGCCATTGCTTTTGTCCTGGACCTTGGTTATTTGCGCCATGCCATTGGTCCCCCGGTGGGTCAAAACCTCGTGGCTGCTTGAGATTTAGTCCCGTGGGTCTTATCTCAATAGGAGTGGTTGATGCCAAGGAATGCCATTGTTGCTTGTGACGTCTTATCTGTGAGGTTCCGCTCCTTTGCTGCAAGACGACAGTCTGAGTTGGCAACATACCTCACAGCACCTGTCGTTGAGATTGAGTATCGCAAGACGTCTTGACGTCCCGTTGGCCCAGCTGCAACAGAAACCGCCCCGTTGGCCCAGCTAATCTTCCGCATGTTCGGCCAGGTGAAGCATCCTGCGGCGGAGGATTTGTCCGACGTGTTGGTGGAGACCGTGTCCTTGCAGATGCCTAGGCCGTCACACAATCACACACACACGGGCGGTGCGGAGACGTGTGGTGTGTGCGGTTTGCATCCGGGTCCGGTTCCTTTTTTGGTTACCTGTGGTTACCGGGTGTTTGAGAGTGGCCGTACTGCCATACTGATGCGTTGGAAGTATCCGGAATCATCCGGAATCGCTTCGATTCATCACTCGTCGAAGATGAGCAACCGTCAAAACATTAGTGCAATGACTAATTTCGTAAAGAGTGGTCGTGAATCTCAGGAATTGGGCTAAAACCGGCAAAGGCGATAGGTCCCCCTTAAAGGCGATAACCTTGGTGGATCATGTCCTTTGCTTGACAGTACGTTTTGGCAGGCGCTCAATATTGAGGTTCTCCTGGTACTGGTAGAGAGGTGTATATAATTGCTTATATTGTCATATACGATGTAAGGCCGGGCCTGTTCCAAGTGATTGCTAGAATTTGATCGAAGGAGGTTCAAATTCTTGGCCCAAGTCTCATGGACCTGCAGGTGAGCCAGTTCTATACATGTTACAAGATGGTGTGATCTATATAATAGTCGATAGATAGATGGAAGTTCTGGTAACAAGATCGATGGTGAACCTCCAAAAAAACTTCCAGGTGCATCGGCTTCCCAAACGGTTGAGCTATGAAGCACTCGTCGCTCTTGTTCATGATGCCAATCAACGGTCCTGCCACCTGTCGTTTTGTTTTGACTGAAGTTGTTTTGCTTGAGGCTTGAGGCAACCCGTGTCTCACACTTCGTGACATGCTTTCGAAAGAGGCAGATCGAGGAGAGCTTCATTGCAGCGGCATTGTCCTTTTCCATGTTTTTGATCAAGTGAAGATCTGCTCGGCTTGGCACTTATAATGTGTCATACATCTTATATACTGAGATATACTGAGTCTTCATGAAAAACGGACCAAACTCTGAAAAAGATCAACAACTTCTTGTGATTTGACCCCCAGGAAGAAGGGCCCTTTCTTTTTGACACCGCAGGACGCGCGCTTTTGGAAGTCGGCCGCCAAGGCCGTGGTGGCCGCGAAGCAGCCCATGACACCGCAGGAGTTCGGACCACCATGACACCGTGCGGTTCGCACCGTGCCAAGCGGCGGGCGATGGCCATCGTCATCCATCGTCTCATGTCTCGACCCCAAAGCTTCATGCTCCTAGTAGTAAGGCCAGGAGCCCCTAGTAGCGTCCTTGCTCCTAGTAGTAAGGCCAGAAGCCGGGTGTTCGGGAGTGTATCCAGTTGAGGAACGTCGAGCGATTTGCCCTTTTTCACGTCGGTCATGGCCCTACCGCGGGACATGTGTTATTCGTGTGGAAACCGTGAGTGACAGAGCGGACCAAACTTCATGCATGAGATGGTAAATCTTTACTTTGCATGAACTGAAAGGCTTCTACGAGCACTGTGAAGGATATAATCCTCACATACAGAGTCTGAAGCCCCTATACGGCGCAGTGGTCACAAACCCATAAGATTTTCCCATGCGTGTGCTGGTGTGTTTGCACAGAAGTTGGAAGACTATTGTCGCGTCTGGTATAGGCAAACACGATACACCCCATGAAAGACTCCTGAAGCTTCATCCTTTTCCTTTTTTTCCAGCCAATCTCGATCACGTGCCAAGTCAGGCTATTCTACCAAACACAACAGGGGAATTCATGGAATTCTAAGCTCTCAGCTCGGTTTGCAGAACAAGATCAAACAAAAAGCAGCGAAGTTTCGACAGGAGGTGCTCTCCTTGTTGGATGCCTTCCGGAAGGTTGGCCTTCGCTCACCTCGGCTCTTTCAGGCAGAAAGCGGCGACGCCATGCGACGCTGTTGCAGTTCGTTCAGCATCTCGCAACCCGACAAAACGGTTTCGTTCGGCATCGGGCCAAAATCCTGGACAAATTTTGGGATGTTTAAGAATGTTTAAGAGTTTGATGTTTTGTTTTATGTGCGACATTTGGATCTTGTATGATATTGTGATGTTTAACCAGCGGAAAGTCAAATTCAGATTTCGACCACATCCAACGACGAGGGATACCGCGGCTGGATTGTGAGCGAGCAAGAACAAGTTCACCATGCATGTCCAATGGCTTCTGCATGTCCAAGTGCCAAGGGGTCGGCGAAGAATCTATTGGGGACAGGCAACTGTTCCATTGGGGACAGGTGCACAGATCTGGGTGGAGTAAACGTCAGTGAGAAGTTGGTGAGATTTCACACACAAGACAGTTTTTTGCGCTGTTCTTGTGATCTTCAACCTTTTTGTTCAGGGTATGGGCTGGCTGTCTTGCATCAGGTTCTGAGACGCTCCACGAGCACCTCACGTTGAGCCGTTCTCTTTCGGCTTGGAATAGAGATGACATGTGATGACCTTCCCAACCGCCTGGGACAGTGACAGGACGGGTGAAATTCAGCTACAGCAGACATGGTTGTTTGCCACTCGGGGACAATGAAGGGGGGCGTAACATGGCGTGACCTTTGAATTGGCGAACTTAAGAGATCCAAGTACATGAAACAGTATTAAATTATATATATATGATGCATATCATCTAAGTGTCGTTCCCCTGTGATTCAATGGCAATTTTAAAGACAACTGACGCCCGGGACCGAGTGGCCAGCTTTGAAAATGCCCCCGCGCAGTGGATGCCATGTCGGAATCTGAGCGAGAAGGCGGTGGAGAGAAGAAGTTGTCCGCAAAGAAGGAATCTGGGACTGCTCAGGAGGTTGAGCTAGATGCAAAAAAGAGTGAGTCATCAGAGAATGAGGACTCCGACAATGTGGAGATGGACCGCGCGGCTCCAATCTGCTCAAAGGACCAGAGCTGTCACTTCTTGCATCGATGTTTGTTTGAGTAAAATCATGCAAGATCTCTGTCTGTCAACAAGCCTAAGCCGGACATTGCTAACTGTGCTCCCTAACCAATCTCCAAAGGCTCCAACAAGATGTTTCCAGCACTGGAGGTGCTCGCAGGCCTCTCTTCGGCTAGAATTTCTACCCTTTTTATGCACACCAAGATGACAAAGAGATGAAGAGACTAAGGAATTGGAGGGAGAACCAGCATTTATGCCTTGAACAGTGGTAAATGCCAAAAAAAACTATCCCTGACACCCGACACTCCATGTATTGCTATTTACCTACATTGGAACGGTTTCCGGGTGAATGTAGGCGAATATCCCATGACATGAGGGTTGGGGTACGTACCAAAAACCCACCCTGCTATGATCCAGATGGGCGAAGAGCAGCGAGAAGAGGGTCTTCAGCGGCGAGAAGAGGGTCTTCGAGAACGGCGGGCCAACCGAGGCCTTGGAGGACTCGACCTTGGCCAGCCATGTTGCCAGGGCTCCTGTGGCTTTGATCCGCTGGGCATGAGACCATCACCGACCTTTGATGAGGAGTCAGGGCGACATGGTGACATGGTGCCCAAAAAAAACACGTTTCCACCAGCAGGGTGCTTCTTGAGGGGAAAATCGTTTCTTCACATGTTCAGCTAGGCCCAATGACCCACCCTGAGGAATACATGCGCATGAACCGAGACTTGGATGAAGAGCCCGCCAATCTGCAGCGCTGGAAAGCTTGGCTTAGCCTCGTCTTTTTGGTATTGATCACTGGGCCGGCGGTGGTGGCATTTTTTCTCACCGCCCAAGAGTATGTGGATCCATTAGTCCGCTTGGTGGGCCCGGAGGATTCGCAGCAAGTCAACGAGATCTTCTTCGGTGGCAATCCCTGGTTGATCTCCTGCGTCACTGAAAAGACCGCCCACAAGAAGCCTCCACGTGTTCTGGAGGCAGCAGCTGAAGTGCTCCGCCCACGTGGTGTGCGGGTAGCACGTGTGTCTCTTGGAGAAGATGGGATGCACCGTTCGAGAAGTATAGCAGGGATAGTTTCTACCACGTGAGGCAGGGAGGACGGAAGACCATGAGCCATCCCTTTGCTCTAGGGCCCTAGGGCTGGGTAAGAGCTTGGTTTCAGGGCTTTTTGAAAGTGCTTTGGCCTTTTTTATGTTCATCCCACCCATTTCGTTCTTGCATGCGGGTTTGTTACAAAAACACAGATGGCATTGCCTTGGTCAGGAAAGCGAAAGAATTCCTGACTCATACTGGAACCCACTGGTCCAAAACAAATTTGTATGACAAACATATACAATACACAACATATACAAATACAAATACATACAAAATGATACAAATATATGACAAGACAATTCAATACAACCGCACCTACTGGTTGCTGACCGGTAAGGCACTGCTGGGAGCCCCTGGAGACCAAGAAGGGCCGCCAGACCTTGGCGCAACGCTTCGGCTTCCGGAGCTCCCCCCCGGTGGGGCCTGAGCAGACGAAGGGCCAACACCGTGTGCTTCAATTGAGTCGTTCGTAACAAGGTTCGCTAGGTTCGTAACAAGTGAATCGCTACGTTCGTAACAAGGCCATTACTACTAGTAACAAGGCCATTACTACTATAGTAACAAGAAGTTACTAGTAACAAGTAATGATATGTAATACAATGATATGTAATGATGTGTTTCTCCGAGAAAATGTCATTACTCATTCCAGGTACTAGTTTTGCTGTTTCGCTGAGGAGTTGAATTTCAATGGTTTTCATCTTGCTTCATTGCGCTTTTTGGATATATTTGTACTGCAACACTAGTAGTGTGCTGTTGCAAGGCTAGTATTGCCATTGCGAATGGAAGTGCAGCGACACGTATAGTGCAACTTGTACATATATATGTACCATATGTACTTTGGCTCAAGGATCAAGCGACTAGAAAAGGTGCGGTTTCCGTTCGGACGCTACGCCGCTTATGGATCGTCAGTGATAGCTTCAAACTTTGCTGATTAAGATCCACTCGCAGCCATGAAATACATCAAAAAGAGGGTTTCCAGGGGTGCATTTCTTGCATTGAAGAACACTTCTGAATCTGAACCGGCCGGATGAAGTGACTGTAGTGCTGCATCTGTTGAATAAATAGCCTGAGAAGCAGATGGTTGCTTTCTACGGCGATCACAAAAGGGCGGTACTACCATGTACTACCACCTCTCAGTCAGTCGGTTTCCGCCCAAAGCGATATCTTTTGGGTTTGGGGGGGGATCGTGATTTTTTAGACTCTAGACATTCAATAAAATGTAATCCAATTTCAGATATGTTCTCCGTCAATCTTTCTTCCCCGCACAGGAACGTTTACTCCTTTCATGCCATTTAAACCCCTCCTTGGCGCGCCCCCCACAGAAAAAGGAACGTGTTGCTCAGGTGGTCATGGCCTCCAGTGGCGGAGGGAAGCCCAGCTTCCTGGCAGCGACCGGTTTGTCCGCGGAGGCCTTAGCCGCAAAGGTTCTGGCCGAGGTGATCCCTGAGGCCGCCACGGTACCCAAGGTGGGGTCGGGGTCGGGCTGAGTAGAGGGGATTTGGGGGTTGCTACGCTGAAGAGTGGGGTACTGTAGAAGGAAATTACACCAAGCATTAAATAAATATGTTGGTTCGACACATATACTGAATGTAGTACTGAATCTATATAGTTATATATACATGTTTTACTGTACATATTATTGATGCACTTTTTTTTTAGATTTGACATGTTGAATTTACATCTTGTGGATTTGTGAATGAATTTGTTCTCACTGCAGTTACCTCTTCTTTCAACCCTTTCTTGGTGTTGATGGGTGGGGTGACCAATGCGTTGACCGGGAGGACGGTGGGGTGGTCACCATTTGTGGGTGGTCCGGAACAACTGGCAGTGCGTTGTTCTTGGCATGCTCTTAGCCGAAGATAATGCCTCATCACGGAGTCTCCACCATCTAGGAACTGTTCGCCATTTGGGGAATTGTTACGAGATGTTGCGAGTGTTGGAGAAGCTCCGGCAAAACAGATCAACACAGCATGCACGCTCAACTGTTTTGGGGATCCTAGCGCCGGCGTTTCCGGCGGCACGTCACTCTGAAAGAGTTTTGGATCTGCCAAATCCGCCAGGCCCAAGTGAAGGATCGGTCTCTTGGCTGATGGACTGGAGGGACTCAAGTTTTAAACCATGAACATCCATCCAAAACTCAGATGGGTGTGATTTAATAGGGAGACCCCCCCCACCAATCGGTTTTGGTCAACTTTCCTTCTTCCAACGGGGTCTTGTGGGAGGTCTTTTTTTTTATGCACATGCATGTTCAATGCTGCCACTGTCAGTGGATCTGAACTTTGGAAGCGAGAAAGATCAAACCGCCGGTGGAACCGCCGAGGCGGTCGACTTCCCAATCGCGCCGGGAGCCGGTGGGGCGACGTCCAGAATCAGGGGCTGAGGTGCGGAGTGGCCCATGGGGATATGCATGAGGGTATCACTGAGACCCGCAAGAGGGCGGAGCATGTGGGGCAGTGGCAGGGGTTGATTTTCAGCTGCTCAGAGTTGGATCTCACAGCCAGTCATGGGAGACCTGGGGCTGCCCCTACCGGCCGTGGGAGCCTACCGGGGTGCGGGAGATGTGAGTGTGAGGCAAAGCACAGGACTCATGAAAAATCTGAAGAATCTCATGAAGATGTTCTGGAGGAAAGAGTTTTGCATGTCCTTAGCTGCTAGCTGGTTGCGGCAAAGTCTTCATATATTGAATGCTCGTCAATGCTCTTCTTGCCAGGAAGACATCAGCAGCAACGATGTGCATGAGGCTGGAGATGGACGTCCAAATGCTCGTTCACCTACCTTTTGCTACTGTATGTGTTGGTTCGCATTTTCAGAATCGTTTCTGCAACTTTGCCGGCTGAGGAGGTACTCCAAGAAGAAGAAGACGTAAACCTCGATGCATGAAAGATCTTGAAGCCACGCTCCACGTGACGCGCCCGTTCGCGGAAAACGTGTGCGAACGAGGACAGCGGGGTGTCACGGAACCTTCCAGTCTCCCGTCGGCCGACCGTGGTGCCACCCAAAGTGCTAAAGCCACCAGGGCATTCTGTTGGATCATGTGCTACATGTGCGTCCGTTATGTTCAATGGTCCAACTGCCACATCACCTGTCGCTTGTACTTTCTGTTCCCTCTAGACCCGATTCCAAAGATAACTGTAAAGTTAATTATATAATGTTAATTATATATAGTTATTATAGCTCGGCACAATGGCGGCATGTCCTTTGCCGGATCTCATTGAACGTCAATAGTGGATTGGAACCGTCCAGAGAGTAAGTTGCCAACAGGTGTTAGCTGTCCGTGTAAGTTGGGGTCAGTATTTTTGCTCAGCTGCTGGGGTATTGTCATCCACCTGCATGAAACATGCGGTGTGTAGCGAAAACCGGTTTGATGTCAACCAGGTGTTATCGATGTTCATATCCTTTTGTTGTCATGAGGCAACTGCTGAGTGTGTCATGCGGTGGTTTGGAAGCTTGTTTGTACGGCCCATACTGTACAACTGTCGGATTCAAAAACCACACAGCAAGCTTAATATCACTCGAGATACTAGAGTATACTAGTAGTTACATGTAGTTACTAGAGTCAGTCAGGCTGAGATGCCCTCTCGCGATGTTTTTTTGGGGAAAAAACCTCCCACATGGAAACTTAAGACCATTCTGGTAAAGGGCTGTTACCGATCCAAAGTCTACAAACTCGGGCATCTAGGCACCACGGTCGAGAACCCATCAGAATCCTATTCCATCACTCTCCAACCATAGGTTTTGCTCATGGCTCACCATGGCGAAGATGTCAAACACCAAACGCCAGGCCTTGGCCCGTCGAGTCTTTGAAGTCCTGGATGAACTGGAAGCTCGGCAGCTGGCCAAGCAATGCAGCGTTGTTTTGGGCTGTGACCGAAAGTCGAAGCACTGCTTCTTGTTCCATATTGTTACTTGATATATTGTATGTTTCATCAGGTCAGGTCTTCCTCCTTGGCACGCGCTTGACTCGCGTGAAGAAAGTTCGGAAAGCCAGCTATTTTCATTCGGTGGGTTGATGGCCCACTTGAGCGTTGTCCCAGGAACATCCCACCCATGGTCGCAACCTTTTGCCGGGTGCCCATAAAGGAGGAGGTGCGGAGCTGGCACCACACGTGGCCGGAAGGAGTTGGTAGTTCGCATGCAGAGGTCTGGGCGGTATTCATATTGTATCATTTTGTAAGCGTTCTTCTCAATATAGACTTTATAGCATGTTTGGCCAACGTATAATCAGAATTTGAAAAGCTGGGTGGCCATTTCAGATATACATATATATAGTGAACCTTTTCTTTGGATGATTGATCCCACTGACTAAATATGTTTCAGCTGTGTTGAAGCCAGTCCCGGTGTTCCTCCGGTGAGTGGCGCCACGCCGTCGGATGGCTTCGGTCTCTTCCATAGGAGCGCGAGGAGGTGGTCCACGCGCTGGTGACCCGGTGGCTGGTGATGTTGGACTACAAGGCGTTTGGACTGCTGGAGCTTTGGATGTGGAAGGGTGGCACAAACCTCAAGATGTCCATTAAGTGGGAGGGAGTTCATATCAGCCACTTCTTGGGGATTGTACCGTCTACGCACTGTGAAACTTCTAAAAAAAATAGCATGGCAAGCTCAGAAAGGACATGTGACACATGCGGATCATGAACATAGAGAAACTCCGCATTTCTTTGGTGTTGTATACACTTAAATATATGTTGTTTATGATTCAAGGAGTAGCCGTCCATAGTTTTTAGCAGGATACCTCTGCTGACGTCGGGTGAGAGTATCCAAAACTCCAGGTGGTCCTTCGTTGAAAAAGCTTTGCTGCTCTGCTGCTTCCAAACAGAAATGATTCACATATTATGTTCATGTGTTAATTAGTTGTTCCATCAAATTATATACCTTCCCCGATTAAAACCACACGTCTCCTGGTTTTGTACGAAATCCATCCGCAGGCGACCAATCCGCGTGTCCGACGCGTGCTTCAGGCCGGCATCACCGTGCAACAAATCCTGAGCTTGGCAGTGCCGGTGGCCAAGCCAAGGGGGCATTGGATGCGTCCTTGATAGAATTTAGAAGTTTCAGGTGTAGATGGTGCACATGGTGGATGCCACAATTGCTGTGTCAAAGGAAGGCTTAACGCTTTGCACAATTCTTTGGGAGGACCTATCAGAGGAAGTGACCACCACTTCTATCATTTTCTATCTACTCATCAACAGGGAACGAATCAACTCGAAGTCCAGCAGAGATTTTGCCGAGTAGACTCCGTGCGACGATGTCAGGTCACTTCAGTTGTCGCCCCACCTCATCAACACTGCAGTCTTCACCAAAGAGGCCCAGCCTCTTTCCTCAGGTCTTCCAGCGTCTCTTTTTGGCGCCGATCGAATCGGTTTTGGACATAGCAAATCAAGCCTGAAGCGCATGATTTGTACGCCAGATGAGCATGAACTTCCAAAGCTTTGCGAGCTGGTCAAAAGCAAATGAAACATGTTACCGAACGTGAAGAAATATGAAGTTTGCTCCAACTCCCTCTAGAGTCGAGGTTCATCGCAGAAGTGTCGTGTCCTTTCAGAGTAGATGCTGATACTTCAAGCCTGAAGGGCCAAATTCTTGGCCACACCGATCCTGCCTTGGACAGGTCTTGAATTACATGGCCAATCGCTTCCATCTTCTCCAAGCCGATGAGGCCATTGTCTTCGTTTGGGTCCGGACACCGAGACAGACCGACCGGTGAGACGTGACGTCGAAAACATGGGCGAATGGATCAACTTGATGTTGAAATCTGGTTGAGAGAATTGTTGCAGAGAGTTGTATATAAATGATATATAAATCCATATATGTCATCATATTTCGAAGCCTACGAACCTACTGTCACATGCTGTCATCACTGAAGATTGGAGGACGCTTCACGATCGAACTACCTCAAGAAAAGTTGCGAAGACAATCATTGCCCTACCATCCTCATCCATTCTCTACCAGTTGAGTGCCAGTTGTGCTGGTTTATCTTGCTTTGTGTTGGATTTCAGTGACTGACATCACGCCGTTTCTTGACCCATTTCTCTCCCGCCATGACCTGAAGGGCTTCCACCGAACGGAGCAAGAACGCTACTAGTAGCTCCTGGCATTACTACTAGGAGCAAGAAGCTACTAGGGGCTCCTGGCCTTACTACTAGTAACAAGAAGCTACGAACGGAGCGATCGGACGCTTCCCCAGGCCTTGCAACGTTTGGTCGTGCCCGGCAGCTCCACGGCCATGCTTGCGCGGGGGCTTCATCAGGCGCAGGGGCAGTACTCGTCGGCTCCGGGGTTTCCCGGCTCAGTGTGCCGTTGGTCAAGCGCCTCAGGCCTCTCTCGCCAGCCAAAGAGCTGGAGAACTGGTTTCCATCGATCTGATTCCGCTCTCCAATGGGCGATCTGATTAGGTGCAACGACTCTGGCGTCTTTTGTCCGCCTCCAATGAGCTGAGCCTGCCGCATGGCACAAGAGTTCCTCGCGGTGGGCGGGAAGATGACTGTTAGGAGGTCCAAGAAACCCGACCGGTCCGAGAAATTGCGACGGACTCAGTAGAAGTTGGTGGATCCAATGATCCAGAAGGATCGGGGCAACACCGGTCAAAGTCGGCACAGCATGAGAAGGTACCTGCATTGAACATCAGCAGATATCAGCAGTGCCTAGTTTGAGAACATTCTAAAGCATGAGGATTGGTCCTGACCGCCTCTTTGCTTTGTGCAGCCCCGGCAACTAAGCACATCGACGTGGTAGTCACGTAGTCCAACACCTAGGCAACGTCTGATGCAGCTCTCAGAAGTCTTGGCTTGCGTCAAGGAGGAGGCCCGTCTAGCGGCTCCATGTGAAGGAGGGGCGGATCCAGTTGTGTCGGGTACCTCTGTGGGCGGGTCGGTTTGGTTGGAAACCCCCAGCCGAAGGGGTCACCTCAGCCGATGGGGGGTCGTTCTTTGGACAACACCAGGTGAAGTTCAGCCACAAAAATGATCCTGGAGCTTTCTCAAGGTATTTGAATATGTTGAATCAAACACGCTTTGTGGGTATTTCATGGTATTTCTCACCCAGATCTACGAGCTGAAACTCAGATTGGCCAACCAAGGACGTGTCCATCAGTCGTCAGAAACATCGGAATGGACAGATGACGGATGATTTGTCTCTCACCTACGGATCGGCAGAGCTGGAAGGATGAGGCAGAAATGCCAATCTCGCCAATTCCCGCTCAAAGGGGTCCACGTTGACGTCGAATCAAAATGAATCAAACACAGAGGAGTTGGTGTTCAAAACCGGGACCCACTTGTTATGTAAAGCCGAGTGTCTTTGACAGGCCGACGGGATGTCAACTCGCGAGTCCCAGTGGATGGTCAACCCTGCCGCATGGGACGTGTTCTTCCGTGTGTGCGCAAGCGCTTGACGCGCGACGTGTGCGCGACGTGTGCGCGACAGGCGAAGGGATCTTACTGGACCAAGGAGTTGGAGGAGTTGCATGACTTGGCCATTGAGGACTGAGACCACCCCGAAGGTCGGACGTCTCGACCACCGGAGCCCATGGACCTCGTTTCGGGTGGCTTGTTCAAATGTTCTGGGTATGTTTTTTGGCTTTTGATAGGTTGGCAGGACGATCAGGACGAACCACCAAAAAGTAACGAGGTCTACGTACCCAACCCATCACGTTCCTTTTTCTTCCATTTTCTAAGGCTTTGTAGATTCTTGGTCACCAGAGCGTTCCTTTTTGCCCAAACAGCACAGAACTGCAAACCATCGATCAGTCAATAGAAGCACTCGTTGGATGGTCGTTGAATTGCTTGGCCACGTTGGTCTCCGCTCCCGCGGTAGCTCACAGACGACGGATGAGGACCTGGCAGAATCGGTGCAATATGCTCAGCCAGAGGCTGAGTTCCAGAGTTCCCAAGCCTTTGCCAACACAAGCAGCTCATGTCGAGGGGCCAAATGACCAAGCTCCACAAACGGTCGCCCTGGTGTTTGGCCAGAGAATCTCCCTGGCGCCCCTGTTTCCGGTGAAAAGACCCAGAAAACGCTCCGTGGAAACGACAGCTTGGCGCCTACGAGGTCCGACAGCTTGGCGCAGATCTTGGAGACTTGGAAAGGCTCGGAGGCGAGGCATGGTTGGTTCTCGCATCGTTGGTCGTTTGGGGTATGGTCGGGCATGGAGGCCAGAATACTTCGGGATTCCACTGAAGCAATGGTCTGAATTTCCAGAGAAGAGTACCTTGAAAAAGCATGGTCAGTGGTCTAGAAATATCTTCCAGCTATATATATATATATCCTAGAGTTAGAGTCACTGACTCACCAGGCCTTCTGGCGCAAGCACGAGCACTTGGCGGAGGCCGTGGCCAAGCGAATGGAGGTGCCCGAGTCATGTTCAATCGAACCGCCCAGGGAGACTAGTCCTGCTCACAGCAGGTTGGAGGCCATCGCTAGTAGGTTGGAGGCCATCGCTTCTAGGTTCCCAAGGGGCCAAGCTTCACACCGTGGCCAGGAGCTGCTGCTGGAACGACCGGAGGCCACAGAGATCATTGCCATTTTCCAGGCACAAGACTTGCTGTTTGGGGGAATGATGTGTGGGTGTGTGACACCCTTGGAGTCACAGGGATTCCATTGAATTTGTTCTCACTGTTTGTTGTGTTTTGGTCTTAACCCCTACTTTGGTTGACTCTTTATCGCAGGGGGGCACAGGCCCATCGTGGATACCTGTGCCAACGAAGCTGTTCCACGATGGGGGAAGCGGAGATTGATCACCTCCGTGTACCTGCTGAAATTTGTGGCGTTGAGTAATCACATCGCACTAGAGTTCAGGCTGGTGAGGTTTCAGAGGTCGGCAGATGTGCATTAAAGGGCTACTGCATTCGTCGCTCGAAGCTTGCTTGTCAAACCTGATTTTCACACTCTTTTGAATTTTGGAGTCCTGGAAAACCGCTTCTTGGAACTCTTTCAGGTTCACCTTACATACCTGTAACCTGACCTCTTAGTCGTTCATATCTAGGTGGGCATGTGGCATGTGGCATTCCGTTCCGTACGCACTTCCCAAGTATGTGATTCAAACACATTATATAAGCAACTTTTCATTTTTAAGTCTTAAAGCATGTCAAAGCAGGGAGACCTCCCAGCTTGACCTCCTGGAAGGTTCGGAAAGCGGACCCAATCCGAATTGTTGGAGGTCTCCCTAGTTACTGTAAATACACGACGCACACATGTGGGAATGTAGAGGTGTGTCGGTGGGGGGTGGGTCAACGGCCAACGGCCCAAAAATCGGAGATGAATCACCAGCAGCCCCAACTCGTTTTGACCCGATTTATTGACAGAACATGTGGTATTGACCCTCTCCAATTCATCATAATTCTTGATTTGATTTGACAGAACGGTATCTCATGAACAACAGCAGACTGGCCTGACAACTACACCGTACACCCTTTGACAGTTTCCACCGCTGAAATACCGTCAAAAAGTCAAAATACAATTTCAAGGCTAGAAAACTTGTCAGGTCGTGACCGCCAAAGACTCCAGCAGAGTGATTGCCAGCCAAATTTTGCAAGTGTCGCCAGTTGCGCGCGACTGGAGGCTGCGCTCAGCGCGCCGGGTTTGGCGAAATGTTTGCCATCAAGCGCGGTCGAGGTGGGGGTGAATCCATATTGCACTGAGGGAAAGAACACTCCCCAACTCAGCAGATGATGCATGGTTAGGATTAGGAACACTATACACCAAGAGACAGGTTGTCCAAAGGATTTCATGCCCTTCATCTTATGAGAAATGGTTGCAAGAATGAACAGCAGAAAACCATCATGAAAGCTCATTAAGTGTCCCCATCGATCAATGGAAGAAATGCTTCTCGCCGCCGGCTTCGCCGGCAGGTGCTGTCCTCAGCTTTGCTTGGGCGTGGGCCAGAGGAGTTTGAGCGAGTTCAAGCGGTGTTGGCCGGAAGCCCGTGGGAGATTTTGTGCCAAGGCCGGCCTCGACCTGGAACGATCGGCAAGGGGTCGGTGAACATGCGATTGGTCCAAGTTTGCGGGTCGAAATCCACGGAGAATCCTCCATAAAAACGTCCAAGTCCAAGAATGGTGCAATGGAATCCAATCCAAAAAGAGAAAACCTCTATATACTACTGTTCATGGGCAATCCCTAGCTATATACGTCCTCCCATGTCATGTGCCTGGCGGTGATGTTATTGAAAGCTCTAAACCAATTGGATAGCGAGGTAGCACGGGTAGCAACTCTTGAGGAATGAGTGCACCGAAAACAGAGTACAATAGATAAGACATGACTGGTCATTGGGTTGGAGTAGTTCGCACTTTCAAATTATTCACCTGTACGTTGGATGCGATGACTGAGATGAATTGTTTCATGCTCCAGAAGTTAATGCCTGGAGGCCTAGAAATGCCTTAGGAGCACAGGGCATCGCTGCGAACGGAGCGATCGGATGCTACGAACGGGGTTCCTGGCCTTACTACTAGGAGCAAGAACGCTACTAGTAACAAGTGCCACGCTAGTAGTAACAAGTGCCTTACTAGTAGTAACAAGAAGCTACTAGGGGCTCCTGGCCTTACTACTAGGAGCAAGAACGCTACTAGGATTAGAAATTGTTTTTTTCATCAGAAGACCCAGCTGAGACCGCTCAATGACCCGACCCAGCTTGGTGAAGCCACGCAGGCGGCGGCGGCAGCGCCCCGTCCACAAGGGCGGCGCCAGCGGCGCCGGACACGGTGGAAGAGGCAGAGGCTGGCACGACTGGTGGTGAAAGACTGGCAGTGGTGACAACTATAATTACTTAACTGAATGAATTGCTGGTCATGGGGAATTGAATGGAATTGATGGGGGTGTCATGGATGTTAAAGGCTCAAACCATGAGCAAAGCAGCCTAGTTGGAGAAGAATCGAAGAGAAGGGGTCCCTGGGTGGTCCATGTGGCATTCCAGGTGGTCCGGCCTTCGACTCAGACTCGATCGTTCGTTTCGGATAGCCCCCTGAGGCGAGATCATGACTTGCATGGGGCGAACTCACGTCCGCTCGCCTTGCAACTAGCGCCCGAGCAACGATGTAGAGACAACACCTGCTGCAAGAAGAATAGATTGAGAATGCATGAGAATGCAGAGTGTTGAAGATATCCAGTCAGATGGTATGTTTTTGCAGAATTCGTTTGCTTACAGTAGGAGAGTTGGGCGACATCTATTGTTTGGGGCAATATTCTCTGAGTTGCAACCCAGAGAGAGAGAGAGAGAGGGGCATCAGATGCTGCCCATTGCCCCTTCTTCAAATTACAAAGCCCACCAGACTGGGTCTCGGCTTCTTCAGGTGCAGCCCAAGAAGTCTTTGTAATTATACTTGAAGCATCTTGAAACATCTTGAAGCAACCATAAGCAACCTTCCACCTTCCTGGATGGGCAACCTCTCGTTCCCTCTTTTCGAGGTCCATCCTCTCGAGTCACCAGGCACATCCGGAGTTCCGGACTTTGATCGATTCATGGAGAAGTCCCAGGCGCGAGACGACGCGAGACTCGAGGTCCGGCGGAGCGAGGTCCCGCCGCGCCGGATTCGGGTCCCACAAAACAGCTGATGATCTGAAGAGCACCTGCCAGATGTGCTGCATATCTATGCATTGAACTGGAAGTAGGATGCAATGCGTACTTGGACTGGGGAGACCTTCCAATCGATCAGATTTGCTCGATGTTTGCTGTGACACGACCCTTTGTGACTGTTCCTCATCTTCTGGGATGATTGCTGAGGTTAGCCCATTGATTAGGGTGCGCATGACGACCCACTCCCTTTTGTTTGTACGGAGGGTCATGACATGACAGCATCAAAAACCTCCATGATTATCCATGATTAAATTACATAACGGACTTGTTTTGGAGCTGTTCTTGAAGAGGCCCTGCAGTGTTTGAAATTGCTGTAAGGGATTGCTGTCTTGAGTAGTCTTACCAGGATGGTTTATTGGAGCGACGGAGTGTGGTAATAATGGTATTAGGTAATTACTGTATAATCTCCAGATTTGTTTCTACAGATTTGTCGGTGTTGTGCGTAGCCGCTAGAAATCCGCTAGCAAGAAGAGAGCGACGCAGATGACCTTTGTGAGTCGTTCCCCTGCGGCCCAAATTGAATGTCCTTACATTCAGTGTGTGGCTATGACGCCTGTGGAGAAAGTTCCAGCAGCCACTCTAAGTCTAGTAACAGTAACCCTTTGAAGGGGTGAGATGAAAGGTCGTTAGCAAGTTCGGTGGGGGCTCTGGGACGGGATGATGCTTTTCCAATCGTTTTTTGCAAGATTCATACTTATAAATATATCAAAATATATCTTTATGTTGGCACATGAATAAGCGGCACGCATGAAGTTCCGATTTAACAACGGTTTTAGGCCAAAGACTTTTGATAGACCGTCATGTGCTATCCAAGCATCTCCATCAACTGGCTTTGCCTCGCAATGTCAATGGAATTGCCCATGAAGGCCCTTGGCAACATGCACCAACCTAATTGCGATAGGGGAAAGGATAAAAAAGGATACATTGATCACCCAGGCATCGGTCACCCCACCGCCTGCACAGCTGCGCCGCTTCGGCCAAATAGGACCGACCTGGAGCTTGCAGAGTTCCTCCGACAGGCGATGCGGGTACCACCCGACCGGTCACCGCGGGGACAGAACCACCCGACCCGTGCGACAGAGATCGACCCTGACAGGTGAGGTGGTGAACTCCGCTTCCATGATTACTTCGGGGAGTGTTACGGTGCAAAATCCGTGGCGTTGAGATCCTCCGCGATCCTGGGCGTAGTCAGTCAACAACGTGTTTGGGAGCTTCAAGGCTGCCCTGTGTAGCCAATCGGCATCCCTTTCTTTGGACTGGGTAGTTTTTGACAATAGGAGTCTGTATTCAAGCGCTGTTGCAGATACATAAGCACAGATTCATACAGATTCTACCGAATCGACCACACATCCTCATCCATCTTTGTGGTGGGTGCTGTATTGTGTTTTGGCGCTGAGATGCCGCATTTGATTCCGCGTGCTGGAGGCACACGGACGGGCGGTTAGAGCTTAGGAACTTGGGTTCTGTAAGTCCTTCTCACCATTGGGGCCTCCGGGGCCTCCTTTGCAAGTCCTTCTCACCCAGAAATAGCAGTTCTCTTGCAGTTCTCAGGATTCCTTTTCCTCTCCGAGGTCCCAATCGCCAAACCTGTCACTATCCTTCACTCTTTGTTTTGCCATGCTCTATTTTTTGTATTTTTTCAATTTTGGGGAGCAAGATTCTCTATCTCATCCTATCCATCCACCGTTCCACATCCTGCTTGCTTCATTTCATGTCAATTTCCATCCATACTGTAAGGAACGAGGGAATGGATCCATGGATCCATAAGGTATCTATAAGGGGTCAAGTCATTCCCTCCTTCCCTACTACTTGTCGCGCCACGCACCCGCTTCCAGGCCTGCAGCGTCTCCTCCAGCGCCTCTCAGGCGCTCGAGGCGCTCGAGGCAGCGGCGCCCTTCGCCGAGCGCTTGGCACAGGACGCCACGAAGGAGGCGACGGACGCCTACGGTGACGGACGAGGGACGGACGATGGCGGGTGATGGATGGCTGGCGGAAGTTGATTCGAGCTATGGTGTGCCAGGAGCACAGGGTCAGATAATTGGATTGACCCATAAGCCCAGATGGGTCCTGTAAGTTGCCTAGTTGCGCAAGTTAGATCATTTGCTAGGCTCAGAGTTGTTGACTCTCAACCAAGATGTGGGCATGACACGGTAGGACATTGAGATGCCTGTTTGTGTTTTGCGTTCAAACTGTGGAACATATATATATATTGATTCTATTGACAAACAACGATAAATAAAAGGCGCATAGCTGCCATTAGCCAGAACTTGATTCGTAGGAGTTCTTTGAGAAAGCCGGCCGATTTGCGCAATCGACTTTCTGAGTGTAGAATCAACGGTTGCTGAACATCTTGCATGAGGGAGTTCAGAATAGGCCTACGTCCTGCTAAGTGAATGTGTTTCAAAATACAGAAGCAAGCAGCAGGATCCCAATCATCAGGGGCTTTGGGGAAGCTCCCTCGAGACAATCCCCCACGGCTGTACGGATTGGAACAAAGTATTTTCCAGTCATTGGCCTGCGAGAGGTTCTCTTTTTTCGACAATGAGCGAAACTCGTTGTGTCACCTCATCTTGTTGCCTCTATATGCCAGGAGCTACTAGTAGCTTCTGCTACTAGTAGAAATGCCTTTGTTACTGTGGCTTCTAGCTACTAGTAGTAATATTCTTTGTTTGTCATTTCACCATCACACCGTCTCACCCTTTTTTCCCAACCGCTTCCCTCTTACTCCTTAGCGTCTCATTTGGAAGTCCCGTGCCTCCGGAATTTGTGTACTGTGTGCCGGTGTGCTTGCGTGTTTGTGTGTGTGCTTTGTTTTGTTGTGTTTTGTTGCTTGTTTTTGTTGTTTGTTGTTTGTTGTATTTTTTGTGTGTGTGTTTTGTTTTGTTTGTTTGCTTGCTTCTTTGTTTGAGTCCAGTCTATCCGATCCAACTTGCCCGAAGTTCATGCAAGTGTGTTGTATGAAAACTAGTGCATCATGCTAGGTAGATAAGAAGACTTGAATCTCACTTTGGCCTTTAGACCCAGCAAAGTACCGGTGCCAAAGCACAAACCTGTCAGGTCTTGCAGCATTTGGAGCAGCTTTGCCACAAGATTGCAGAGGGTGTGGATGACTTGCCGGCTCATGGCATTGTTCAAAGCTTAACCCAAGCCGGCTGCAATTAGAAGCACGGGCACGGACAAGTATATAAAATGATTCATGATGGCATTCTCTTCAGGCAATCTTTTTGATATGTTGTGATGATCGTGCAAAGCGGACAAGCTGTCAAACACCTGAACCTCAAGAAGGCAGCCAAGCCCTGAAAATATGAAAGCATAGTACTATTGTACGATTTACGAGGCAAGAGGAGTCTTCAAAAGTTTCTGGGCGACTGAGGTCTCGGCATTGCGAGCTTGTGCAGTACGGATCCTGGAATCCATGCCATGCAGAGCTTTTCATTGGGATCAGCGAAGTGTCATGAAGGAAGTGAAATCAGCAGGCACGAGGGGAGACAACCCTTATTCTCTCGATAGAAGAAATGAACCCCTGAGGGTAAGGAATCTTCGAGCTCTTCTGACATAGGCTATGTTCAATTTGCACTTTCTCCTGCTGAACCCAGAACCTCCTGCTTGAGATGGCAAGCGCCGTATTGGCAAATTGCTGATATTATTCTGCAGCTTCCTTCCAGCAATTCCACATCGGCTCCCCCCTTTTAGCATAGCGACCAAGGAAGCAGGGCTCCCGTACGCTCCACTGTGCTCCGTTGCGTTAGCTTCACTGGGAGCTGACTTGAGAGCAGCAGCCCTAGCGAACAGCTCTGAACTCTGAACTGCTCGGATTTGGAGTGGAATGTGGAGAGCAAGACCGGGGTAGACCGGCGAGACTCAGGATGTTACAACACGACATGCGACTGGCACTGTGTTGCTGCTTTGAGATCGAAAAAATTGATTTCTAAAGATAACCTTGAGGCTCTGTTGTTTCTCTTGTTTGTGTCGGGGGTGTTGTTGCGCTCTGTGTTCTGGTGTTTTTGTTTCCCTGTGTGCGAAATCTGCGTTTGGCCGGTCCAGGCAGCTCAGTCTGTGGAGGCTGGAGCAAAAGAGTCGGTGGTTTTGAGCGACAAAGTCACCTCTTTGGGCAAGAAATGGATGAGAATCTGTCCTCTTTGGAGGTTTTGTCGGCCTCACTGTGTACAAGATCCCGACATGACTCTTGGTGAAGTACAACACGTTTGAAGCTTCCCATTCTATCAGATCGACAACACTTTTGAACATACCAGACATACCGCGTATGAACACAACTATGACCATGAGCAGGACCATACCTCCAAGCATCCGGTGAATCGTTGATATCAACATATATATACATTGGGAGTCGTTCAAAAAAACCATGTGTTTTTTTAGGGGGAACCATGATTTTGAACAACCCCCATATATATATATATGATATGTATATCAACAATGTCTACCTCCGCTTGAACCGGATCATCCATTCTCACAGGTGCTGGAGTCCTGTGCTGCGCTTCGGCTTGAGATCCCTCAGCTTCTTGGTGTTTCAGAAGTGAAAAGGGTGTACCTGATCTAATTTGATCTGACTTATGTTGGTCCTAGTTAAACTTAGTTAATCTGACCAATCTGACCTACTGCTTCATGTTAGACAAGTCTTCTCATAGCATTCCTGTTCTCACAACCCAAGCCATGATGCCTGTGACTCATGGGTGGGGGGGGGTCCATTTGTATGTGTTTTTCGCAGTTGGGAACCTCACTGGGTGAGTTAAACGAAAAACATATGACAAGACGATAGGGGCCTAAATGGTCAAGGGCGCCCCTCAACTCTATAGTGAAGCTGATTGTTGAGGATTCCTTTGATTGCTGCCCAGTACTCTGTGTTGAATATGCTGAATTGCCCATGTCGACTCTTGACTTTCTTTAATGTTCTGGCGCATGCGGACAAGAGTCTAACCTGGTAAACGACCTACGCCTCTCCAAGTTTCGCGAGGCAGGATCTTCCAGAGTCGTGACAATTGCAGTAGGTCACCAGGAGAGCGTTCAGAGCTGTTGAATTCCATGCGTTGGAGCATCCGTCTAGTAGGAAGAGCATCCGACGAGGCCAGACAAGACACTGACTTCGCTCCAGTCAGAATTGCTCCCCCCGACAGGGCGTCTCTGAAAAAGAGACTTTGCAAGTTGAGGATCCAAAAGAGAAGACGGTGGTGTTTGGATACTTTCAGAGCTACTTAATTAAGTGGATTTCTCCAAAGATTCCCTTGTCCATAAGAAGGGATGTGATCATATGTGTATGATATGTGTATGTCCAAGATTTTGGATAGCTGGTTTTGGCTTTGCACAGGTTTTAGCCTACACGTGCTTTTTGCGATATGACCTGAAACAGAAGAAGACCAGCCCAGGTTGCGGCCTTGGCTGTCGTTGCTGTTGGAGAAGGCAGTCCGTTCGATGCCCGCGACAAAATCCTTGGAGTTCGGCGGTTGGAGAATTATTTCAGAAGGGCAAAGCGGGGCAGGAAGCCGATGTTTAAACATATGAGAGCTTTGGTATTACCAGGCTATCAGGTTCGTTCTGTGTTTGGTCGGTCCACTGATGCCCCCCCTCATCCTCTTGGATGTTTATGCTTGGGACTAGCGAATCCCACTGCATGCATTTTTCGCAGTGTGGGACTTGGAAACCGTTATTTGACCTCTCGTTTCGCACCTTTACGTGCACAAACTCTCGGCTCCGTCGCTCGGTCAAGTCATCACATCGACTAGTTACTCCACAAGTGATGGCTGTCCTCCAGCGATGTCAGCTTCGTGCCCTCAAGCGATGTCAGCTTCGTGCCCGTCTATGAGAAGAAACTGTAAAGGTGTGAATCTCAAGTCACTCATCCCTGATCCGCTCCTATCCTACCCCCAGTCCAGATCCGGTCACTCGGAATTTTCGTGAAACTCTGTTCAACTAACATGGTTACGTGGTAGGCACAGCCCCAAAGGAAGACCAAACAGGGGGCTGAACTCCACCTCCATCGTAGTTCCAGGGAGTAAACTCGGGAAGTTTCTGGCCGGTCGACTCCACCAGGGCTTGGAGCGTCAGCTCTCGGCGGGCGGCTTGGCACGCTTGCTGGCGGCTGCCGGGCGATTGGGGCTGCTGGAGGCAGAGCTGGGGAGAAGGTGTGGGCGGCGGTGGTGCAGAAACCCAAGAACATTTGTTTGTAGGATTTAAGATCTACCGACAATCTTAAATGGGTATGATTAACCACGTGTTTGTCATGTTGTACGACTCATTCAGTATAAGGAAAAATAAGATATATATATATTTATACTGTAAGTCTTAAATAAAGTGGGTGTGCAAACCTAAAAGGTTTGTTCAGCCAAATTATCACTTTGACTACTCTTACATGTTTGTGTCAACGACAACGGTTTGATCAACCCATTGTATATTCCTTTTTCGACAGTCAGTTCCGTCACGGTCACTTTTTTGAAGTCATGACTTCCAACCCTTTTAGATACCTTTTCATAGAATGGACTTGTTTCAAAACATGTGTAAGACTTAATGACTTGAACACCTCTGACTCAATATAACCCATTTATCCCATGTTTATTTTGATAGTGTTTGGTTTCAATGAGTGTAGTCGACCTCTATTCTTGGTAGCAACGGAGATGATTTCAGATTAATTAAGCTAAAAGGATCCAGTTTGGGGTTGGTTCATTTGATGTTGATGGTCGCAGGCTAAAAAGGCTTCTACTGTCACCGACATGTCAGATCTCTTGAAGTAAAGCATAGACTGCAGTTGTAGGTCCCAGCATAGGAGCATTTGCTGCATCACTTCCACCGAACAAACATGTCATGCGTTGCATCTGGAAGAAGATAAGAACTTTCAAAACCCTCTTTGCAGGCTGCAGGTTTTGTGGGAGTTGTAGCGACATCTACTTTTGTTCCTCACAGGGAAGCCCATCACCGATACAAGTGTTGGATTGGGGCTGTTTATTTGAAGATGTTGAACTTGGTGTCTCCCCTGGCTATAGGTGTTCAGGGAACATCTTGTTCCATGTTCTTTCGGGTCGATGAAATGCTTGAAGCAACTGATCTGAGGGATTTTACTGTCCCTAGGAGTCGGCACCCAGCATTTTGGTCAGTCAAAGTCGGCACAAAGTCGTCAAACAATGGGACCATTGCAGTTCTTGTCGTTTGCTCCCTCTTCCTGTCGCTGATCCAACATTTCATCGGAGACATAGAGCGGCCTGTATTCGATCAGAGCCAGGCCCATGAGACTGCTGAGATCCTTCACAGGCACGGCAGACCTAGAAGGTGTAGAAAATCAAAACAAGACTCGGCGTCAGACGTTTCAGACTCCACTTAGACAGAAAACCATATGGTTTGGTCGCTTCGTAGTGCTTGGACGGGTATGTCTCATGGATTTCATGGTATGGTTCGGGGTGGTACGACTTGGTACAATCCTTGAAAGTTGTCGGTGGTATGTGTCGTAGTGTTCCTCCAAGAAACAGGGACAATCGATGTGAGACGGCAGATTCATCGGGGAATTCATCGGAAGGGGAGTCCGAAGCTCTCGCGAGGGGGGTACTGGAGACGGGAGATTTGAGAAATTCTCCTGGACTCCAATCTTTCGGAGTTCTATCTCCAAGGGCTAATTCACCTCGGCATCCGGTGATTTAGCATTCTATCCAGCAACATGATCGATGGTTGCTAGTAAAGGTTCACCACAGGCTTTGGACAAGGACCAGGCGCACTGCATCCAACCTCAGTGGTTGTTGGAAGATCTTCCCTACTGGCTGGGGCACCCTACTGGGGCACCCGGGCACTTGTAGAAGAGAGTTGTTCACTCTCCAACCATGTAACCACCAATTGGTGAATTCGCTTCTTTTCGACTTCGCTTTCATGACTTTCTGTGGCATCCCATCGCTGCCTTCGCTTGGCCGCTTGGCCCCGCCAGGATCGTCACCGTTGCCTCACCGCTTCGGCCGCTGGCCGCAGAGGCATTGGCTGCACTCAGCCTGGGCCTGGCGCTCCTGCGCAGGGGGCGCCTGGTGTATTCGCCACCCCAGCGGCCTGGGGAGGTGTTCCGGTCTAGACTGGCCGGGCCGTCTGAAAAGGTCAGTTGGCTTCGCAAAAACTGCGTGAACTCATTGTTTGGGGGACTGCTACCCGTAGGCCCGTAGGCCGTAGGAGAAGATCTTTGTTGGAAACTGTGACAACTCCATCAAACCTGGCAAGTTTGATTGATACCTCAGAGTTTACAAAGGACAACTGTTCCCAAACCAAGGCTGGCAACCCAGTGATGGGCGGGCCGCTGACTTCTGGCAGGCTTCGTGTGGGGTTCGCGGGGGTCCGAGGTTTGTAACGAGGCCAAGAACGCATGACCATTCCGTACTGTACTCGTAAGAATCAAAACAAATTAAATCAAATTAACTAAAACAAATCACCGAGAAGTAGGTAACCTCGTGTGATGTTCCAGTTGGAGTTGAAGGTGTAATTAAGTCAAATTAAATTGGTGCGTACCGTTGGCAAGCTTCTTGGCGCATCCCACCATAGATCTCTTTCTAGCGATACACATGTGCGGAACATTGCGGAAACCCGCGAATCACTGCCGTTTCTACCTGGAATTCAATACATTTGCGAGAAGAAACAATGAAATTATGATGAGTTTTATCCGCTTCTTGGAATGAATCTTGCATAGCGCGGCAACAGAGTTCAGCACGGCAACCGCTTTCGAGACAAGCTTTTGTTCTCTCTCCCTTCACCTGCAACTGCTTGCTCCTAAGTTTGACGCTTCCATTTGTTTGTTCTTTGGAAGAGTCATCCAAACATATACAGTGACAGTAACTATGACCTTAAGGTGAAGCGAGTTCTTTGGCAATCACTGTTCATTTGCCCTTCGCCTAGGTCGAAGATCTCACCAATCCGCACAACAACAGAGCTACATCAAAAGCCTCCCAAAGCGGTTTGTTCGAGGTTTTTCATGGTGATTTTCGCCATGCTTCGCTGAAATTCACACATCACCCCACGTCACGTCACCCGGTCACGTTTTTGGTCCCCATCAGGTGGCCTGCTGGATAGGTCAGCTGGACCGCAGCCACGTGCAGCCCGGACACATCTTCGCCTTGAGAAGCTTTGCGTCGCCCAGATGAAGGGCAAGGAAGGGAAACGGCCGCACCAAGGACACGGCAAAGTGTATGAAAACGTGTTCCCACGGAACGGCCAAATCCACCAAGCCAGTTGCGGGGCCCTTCCTTTGTCTTAGATCATCTCAGTTCACTCGGAACGTGACACCCCAAATACGGTGAGGCAAAGGCCCGGGAAAGGCGTAGCACGCAACCCGCAGCGAGGTTGTGGCTCCTGGTGTCACCCGAAAACCGTGTGGCGGTGAATGAGCTGAGACCCGACTTGCAGAGAGCCATCGTCCGGAGACCTGACGGCGCCTCATCTCGCCCGTGGCAGAAGTTAAAGCTGTTTCGGGTGGAACGGTGAAAGGCAAAAGCAAAGATTGCTATGCGGCTATCTAATATATATATATGGAAAACCGGACCGAAGCAAAGAAGTCCCAAAGAGCACCTGAGATAGGGAAGCACCTGAGATTGGATCCTGCTGGGAGGGTGTGGGATGATCTTTCTTCCAGCAAGAAGATGAGCATGGCCTGATCCACCAAAGGGATGAGTGGAAGTGAGCCCTCGTTTAGGCTTCGGATATTGAGAGCAGTCAGAACTTAAATTGGGTGAAGAGGGATCCTTCTCCCCAAAAAAAACTGTACAACATTCTTCTATCATGGAATAGCTTGCCATTGGGGGGTTGTCAAGCGGAGAATTCCCTGGTTGCGGGATTTGCACGAAAGTTCCAATGTGAAATCTCCAGTTTGATGTTCTTCTAGACCCGTTTGGATGCGTCAAGCCAGAATCTGTAGCGGACACTCTTGCTGATCAAGAGGGCAAGAACAAAGTACAGTAAAGTTCAGAAACTAGCCCAGATTCTGAAACTGGTTTGGTCGAGTTCAGACGCTACCAGTTTTGTTGAGTTCAGAAACTCTTTTTTCGTGGCGGGTGGGGGGGATTGGGGGGTTGGGCAGGTGAAGAGCACGTTGACCAACATGTGAGTTTCCGCACCCCACGTGTCCAGTTTCAGAACCTGAGTTTCCGAACCCAAAGTTTTAGTTTCCGAACGTAACGCTGACAATAGGGCAAAGAAGATAAAAACATCTGGTCACTTCTCTACATCCACCATTTTGGGCCAATCCAAACCCATCTCCCCAAACCAAAACAAATGAATATCGTTTTCACCCCAACCCACTCCATGTTTGCCTGAAATGGCACGGCACCAAGTGCACCAAGGCCAAGTTGGTCCGCGAGAATTCGACTCAGCATCGGCCTGTCTCAGACACCACACTGAAGTTCCGGCACGAGGCAGAACATGCCCACACGCATTCGAGTGCGTGCGCCGCACGCGCATACTGGGCGTGCCCTCCGAAGGGGTCTGTCTCAAGGTCTTGACACCTTTTGACCGGCTGATAAAGAAATCCAATTGGTCGACTGAGTTCAAAACAGAACTTGCCTGTGAACTGCAAGAAGATTCGGTGCTGTCCAGTCCGAGAGTTCTTTTGTGGGTCAACGTTTGGCTAGTCTGAAAGGTTGGTAAAGTGGTTATATAATCGGTGATGATGTGGGAAATCAAAAGAGTCAGCCCTTCTGCCCGTCGGGAAATCGTTCTGAGTTGCCTCAAGAATTTGAATAGAGAGAGAGAGAGAGAGTGTGTATATATGTATTTATATAATTATGGAGATACCTGGCAACCTCTTCGTGTTCGGTCAGGCGGCAGAAGTCTTGAGAAGAGCCAACCAGCGGATGGCCCAGCAGTTGAAGACTAGAAGACCAGCTTTTCGGGAAGGATTTCTGCTGGTCGCTTTGTGTTGGATACACGGCAAGTCTGCCGCCCCTTAGGCCCTATGATCTGGACATCAGCCACTTGAAAAGCAGAGAGTTGGGAGTCGGTCTGTTTTCAAGTCCATTCAAAAGGTCGATTGCTCCTACTTGATGCGCAGTCAAGGTAGGTAATTACTGGTCATGGGCATCACTCACACTCATCATTCACTCATGGCCAGCCAGAATCAACACCCATCCTGATCACCGTGGTGGCCAGAAAGTTTTACGTGTCCTCAAATCTGAAATGTTCACCATTTTCACACGCTGTCTAACACTACTAGTAGGTCGGAGGCCATCGCTAGCGTCTGTGAGGCGCTCTTGGATTTTGCATCGATGGTCACCGAGGTCTGGGCTTGGGCTTTGTGGATTTGGCCGACGAGCCCAGATGAGCCGATGGGGCCATGGGGGTGTCTCGAAGGTTCACCCGGAGGGTTCACAAGGAAGGCATGGCAGGAAGGCACGGCCGTGGCTCGTGTCCCATGCTTTTTGAAAACATGTCAAAGTTTTCAGGTGGGAGGCCATCGCTACTAGGTTGGAGGCCATCGCTAGCATGGGTCGCCCATCACACTCATCACCTCTCCCCTCCGCTCGGGCTGCGGCCTTTCGAGCACTGATCAATCTGTGGGATCCCGTCAATTATAATGAGTTCGTCATGGATTGTTTTCAGTGACCAGACTAATTCAGATGGACCATGGAGTCCTTGTTTTTATGGATGCGAATTGGGGAAATGGATAGAAATGGATGGCCATGGGAGGTGGGAGAAGTGAGGCATGGAGTCCTTGATTGACAATCCTTCGGTCCGGTCACGATGTTTGACATCGACAGATTGTGAGCACAATTCACCTGAACGAGTAAAAGATAGCAAAAGTCGTCCTTGAACAGTAGCAGTATCACCTAGTCTGACCATTCAATATGTGGTTTGTTTCTTTTTGTTCTGACTTAGGGTGGCCATCAGCACTCCCATCAACAAGAAACAGATTGTCTCACCTTCAGCGCCTCCAATGATGACTGAAGGGTTTCTTTTCCGGTGAGGCACTCCCCGGGGCTGACGGTGTTTTCTGGCTGCTGGACGGACCAGAGGCGAGTGTTCGACGCCCGACGTTGGGCCTTCCACTGCAACAAAGAACTACGAAAGCAGCTGTATAGCTGTTAGTCCAACTAAGAAGTGGATAATGATGACTTCCAGCTAAGGTTGGAAAATCAGCAACGAACAGGTTGGAAAAGAGAACAAGCATATCAGATCTACGGCGCAGTCAAGTTCATCGGGGGTGCCACGCATGCAGCACATGAATAACCTGTCCTGAAACCAGGGTCTTTTTCCAGTCTGCAAAGTGACTCCCGCGAAACTACTTGCTTGCTGATTGACGCACAGAAGAAGACAAAGGACGAGATCACTCTTGAAACTACTTGAATATGCACCGAAGGCTTTCCGTCGACCCTTCCGCACTGATGCTGGTAGACCACAGCTCCACCTCGTTGCCACCTCAGTGGTGGGATCAGCACCGGTCAGCACTCACAATAAACTGCATGGAAGTGTTAATGGGCCAACCCCCGTGGTCTATCCCTTGCTATTGGTCGTTTTACCATACAGAACTCCCACAGCTACCCCTATACTCGAGCCAGGGTAGCCCCTATCCCGGGGCCTAGGGAGCTAGCCTAGCGCTACCCATAGGCCTATCCTAGGCCTATGCCTAGGCTAGGCATAGGCCTACCCTAGACCTATGCCTAGGCTATCCATAGGCCTATTGTAGGCCTATGCCTAGCGCTATCCATAGGCCTATCCTAGGCCTATGCC